TTCCCAACCAGGACGAGATGAGCGATGTGGTGGTCCAGCCCTATAACTCCCTGCTCACGCTCAAGAGGCTGACCCAGAACGCAGACTGTGTGGTGCGTCCTGGATTCTGCCATTCTCCACTCCAGCACCTCAGTCTCCTTTCATCATTTTCCTATACTTAAAAAGTCCATTTTGAGCCCTTCTGTGCCTCAGTCCTGTGCCAGTGCCTTTTGGATGGGTCTTTTTGGCCATGAAACGCCAAGGAAATTAAGTTTCAGAGCCCAGAGTCAGGCAGAGCTCCTGTTCTTTCTGTGCCCATAAATTTGTCACCCTCTTCTGTCCCCCCCCCCAGGTGGTGCTGGACAACACAGCCCTGAACCGGATCGCCACCGACCGCCTGCACATCCAGAACCCGTCTTTCTCCCAGATCAACCAGCTGGTGAGCCCCCACTCCTGGACTCCCTGGGCTGGAGCCCCCCCTCACCGGAGTGTCGTCTCGGGAAGGGAGCCCTGTCCCCGGGGCCGCGGCCCACGACGCGCGCTGCCGTCCGCAGGTGTCCACCATCATGTCAGCCAGCACCACCACCCTGCGCTACCCCGGCTACATGAACAACGACCTCATCGGCCTCATCGCCTCGCTCATCCCCACTCCTCGACTCCACTTCCTCATGACGGGCTACACCCCGCTCACCACGGACCAGTCGGTAGGAGCAGCCCCGGCAGGCCCTGCCCTCGCCTTTCTCTCCCCCTGCTGCCCCGGGAGCTGCCCTTTGAGGCCCCCAGAGGCTCTGTGCTCGGGGACTGGTACGGACCGTCCGACTCCACGCTGACCTGCCCTCCTCTCCCCTCTGCCCCTGGCTCCCCGCAGGGCCCGGGCTCTGTGGGGTCTGCGGACGCTCCCGCACAGGGGCATGCCCTTGCTGAGCTGAGGAGGGCTAAGAACCTCTCTCCTGGTCCCAGAGCAGAGAGGCTCAGTGCAGACCTGCGTCTCGAGACACTTCCCCAAGAGACCGCACTAGCCCGAGTCTGATGGGGCTCAGGCATTGGCCTGGGCCCTGGGGCCCGCTGTCCCCTCAGGTGGCCAGCGTGAGGAAGACCACGGTCCTGGATGTCATGAGGCGGCTGCTGCAGCCCAAGAACGTGATGGTGTCCACAGGCCGGGATCGCCAGACCAATCACTGCTACATCGCCATCCTCAACATCATCCAGGGGGAGGTGGACCCCACCCAGGTAGGTGAGGCCCCTTCGTGCCACCCCCGGAAGCCACGGGGTAGAGGAGAGGCTACCACCACCACTGTTGTGCGTTGTGTGCACCCCCTCCCCCCAGGTCCACAAGAGTCTGCAGAGGATCCGGGAACGGAAGCTGGCCAACTTCATCCCCTGGGGCCCTGCCAGCATCCAGGTGGCCCTGTCGAGGAAGTCTCCCTACCTGCCTTCGGCCCACCGGGTCAGTGGGCTCATGATGGCCAACCACACCAGCATCTCCTCGGTGAGCCTAATCTCCTGGTCTTCTTTGACCCCTCTGTTCCACTAGCCACTCTTATCATTCTGCCCCATTCCATTCCAGCCCCTTATCTCGCACTGGTTCCCATCCTGGAGATTTCTATCTCTTTCAGCTCTTTGAAAGTTCCTGCCAGCAGTATGACAAGCTGCGGAAGCGGGAGGCCTTCCTGGAGCAGTTCCGCAAGGAGGACATCTTCAAGGAGAACTTTGATGAGCTGGACACGTCCAGAGAGGTTGTGCAGGAACTCATCGACGAGTACCACGCAGCCACGCGGCCAGACTACATCTCCTGGGGCACCCAGGAGCAGTGACTTCCTCCCCACCACTTCCCCTGGACAGTAAGCACAGTCCCCATAATGCCTGGTCCCTGTGACCCAGATTCTCCTCCCCAAAAACCTTTCTAGATTCATCTCCAGCCCAGGCACTGGCCCTACTTCCTCCCTTCTCTGCCCTGACCTTTGATATGCTTGTTTAGCTCTAGTGAAGTAATAAAGCTTTGTCGTGAATATAGTCAGAGCTTGGTTGTGGATGTAGTCAGGGCTTGGTCTGTGAATATGGGGGGATGAGCCATGTTCCCTCCCAGTTCCCAGGCATGTGGCCTTTACCTGCTCTAGCTTCCTACCAGTAGTCCGGGTGTCAGTGTGGTCACTGTTTCCATTGGCATACCTGGCCTAGAACCAGGCTGCTCTACTGGAGTCAGCCCTACCTCTCGAGATTACGGAGGGTTACTGAAGTCTGCTCTGTCCTCGGTGCCTAAGCTCCTGCCCCAGGGTGGATCAGCATTGCCCCAGACTCTTCCACTCAGGGAGTAGGCCGTGGGGGCTAGTGAAGGAGGGCCTGCAGCATCTGAGCAGGTCAGGAAACCTGGGACTCTGGATTCCCAGCGCCCAAGGCTATCAGATCCTCAGGAACGCAACCCAATTCAACCTAACTTGATAAAGCAGGAGCGGAACTCAGGAGTAGGGCTGAGCCCATCCTGATAAGGTGTTTGTTTATCTGTGCCAGAGAAGTTCTTGGGTCTGATCCTGCCCCAAGCTTCTCTCCATTCCAGACCCAAGGCAGTAGGCACACCGAAATGGACCCAACGAGGGCCCAGAAGCTGGACACTGGGGTAGGAACTGGGTAGCGCCAGGCCTGATGACTCACTGCCTTCCAGCCTCAGAGACGCCAGGAGGCCACCCCTGTGCCACTCAATGGAGAAGTGAGTGTGAGTAATTGCCAGCTTCCAAAACTGCCTTGTTGCCTGCCCCACCCAGCACCCTGTGGCAGCCTGCTGGCAAGGAGGAGGTTAAATCCAGAAGGTCATGGAGGGTGGAGCCCTGTGGTGTCCAGACTCCCCTCCGTGCTGGTAAAAGCCCAGAATGTGGGCGTCCCCAGGGGTGGAGTGCTGAGCTATGGGACTCTAACTTGTCCCACTGACAACACTCCCACAGGAAGCGTTTGTGTAAATAAGGATTTTTTTTTTTTTTTTTTGCTTCTCTTCTACAAATAAATTAAGAAACAAACTAGAAAATTGTCTGCACCCATTGCAGCCCTTGGGTGTGGGGTGCGCCCTGTCCCTGCAGGGCCAAAAGGGTCCATGGTTTCCTCAAATCTCAGAGCAGTCCAGGTCCAGGCTGGAGGCAGAAGGGAGGTCGTGACCTCTTGGCAGGCTCAGTCCTGCAGCTGCCCCAAACAACCAGACTGTCCCTGGGGCTCGTCCAGGCCCGGGTGCTGGCTGGGAGGGGAGATGTCTGGCAGGTCTTGGCATGGAGGAGAAGGGCTGCTGCAAGGCCTCTCGGGGGAGGGATTGGGCAAGTAGGCATTCACCAGCTGCATGATCTCTTCCACCTAAGAGAGGGCAGAGGTCAGAGGGCAGTAGGGGCCACTGGGTTCTCCTTTGTCTCATCTTCCACCCAGGCTCCTCACCAGGGCCTTCCGAGAGCTGCCCCCCTGCAACCTTTCCCTCCTCACCACGGCGCTCTCCCTCACTCATTATGTGCCAGTCACACTTGTGTCTTTCTGCTTCTCCAGGATGCTGTTGTCCTCCCAGGGCCTTTCCACCTGCAATATCCTCTACCTGGAATGCTGTTGCCCAGATCTTCCTGTGGCTAGCCTAAATGTCACCTCCAGTATCCCTTCCTGACTGTCCTACCTAATGCTATGACTCCTTCCAATCTGTTCGTGTCACCCCACCCTTACCTTGGTAGCATTTATTCCTGTCTTATATAGTTTTCGATTCCTTCTGGAGTGTCTGACAGCCTGCTCTAATGTAAGCGCCTTGAGCTTGTCTTTGATCACTGCTGGACCCCTGGTGCCTAGAGCTGTACCCGGTTCAGTGTTTAATAAAATGTTTCTTGACATCCTTTCCCTTCCTTCCTCCTTCCATACCCTCTTCCCACTCACCTGGGGGCTCTGCAGGAGGAGCTGGCTCTCTCCCACCCTCAGTGCCAGGGTGTGGGGGCCCATTAGCTGGCAGGCGGCCACATGGCCATAGCTGACACTGTGGACGGGCTCTGTCTCACCGGGCCGGGAGAGGGACATGGCCTTGGCCCCCAAGCCCAGGCATAGCTTCTGTGGAGTGCCCCCACCAGGCTCCTACGGACAGATAGGTAGAGTCAGGGTGGAAGGAGGGGACCCCGCAGCATTATTTTTGGTGGTGGGGGGGGCGATGGCTGTGAGCAGGGAGTTTCCCCGTCCCCTCTGTGATCCACACTGCGTGTGTGGAGGGGCTTAAGGCTCCGGAGAGGTGAGAGCCCAAGGGCCAGGGTTTGGGACGGGCAGCTGCTGGGCGGGGGGAGTGAAACGACCCACAGTGGGGCTTGCGGCTCTGGGGCAGAGGTGTAGGGCTTGGGCCGCCAGAGTCCCCTCTCCCTTCTCCCCCTCACCGTGCTCAGCTCCAGAACGTCATACCGAGCAGCGCCGAACCCTGGACACTGCGCCGCCAGAGCCAGGTAGGCAGCCATGGCCTCAGCTCGGCCCATGCCCCGTAGCCGCTTCCAGCCGCCCAGCACAGCGGCCGCCCTGCCGGCGCC